ATTAGGCGAATACATTCTACGGGAATCCAAATTTTGAACATCTGATTTTATACATTAACCGGAATTTGTATAAAGAATATTTACTAAAAAGAAATCTTCAGAATAATGAAATTTCTACTTTTCCTGAAAATGGTTTTCGAATAAATACGTGTCTATGAGGTTTTCTCTGACAACGCCTGAGGACATACATATCGTTCCAACATGTACCGAGCAAATTTAACTTTGTTTATCTTTCTTTCAGTGAACAGGACTATGTGGGGGTAAATATAAAAAGCGTCAATTTTTCCTGCCAAGTATGTTTTCCCTTCTTACGTTTTCTGAAAAGCCAATTACTTTATGGTTGCCAATATTTTACATCCAATGAAATAATCCCAAACCGCCGCAGGCACTAATACTCTCTATAAAGAACAAATACCGAAACTGCACGTGGGAAGCTTATCAAATGGAATTTCAACCCAACTCCAGTTCGATAAAACTCGGATAGAGACGTCTCGTTCAGATACTTTTCAACAAATAAAAGTGTGATAAAAATAATTCCAGAGAAAAGGCTTCTTTACGTTGTTGCATGAAAGTAAATTTGGAAAGTGTTCTAGAGTGGATATATGTATATCGGCTGTTTTCAAAAGAGCTAGTGTATTCGTAAATATTTCGGACGAATAAAAATTTAAAATGCTGGTAAAACGAATGAGGGAATGCTTAAAAAACCAAAGGTTTTTACCCCCATTTAAAAGATTACAATAAAATACTGAGTTGGATTTACATTATGAGTTGGTCGCGAATGCGAGCAGTCAGCTATTTTGTTTTTCTATTCACATTCGTATACTCTTTTTCAGTATGTTATTTTGTCATATCAATGCTTAAGCAATTTTCAGATTTCCCACTAAATAAACGTATATTATTACAAAAAAAAAAAAAAAAAAGCTCTGGTCGCACAGCGCAAAGAAAATAAGCAAGGAGTTAGCGCTATATAGTGCACTAAAACGGAAGATTTAAAGTTACTACTTAATTAAGTAATTATTATGTATATCTATTACATTCCCAAGATCTAGAACTGAATCTAAAAGAGACTGCTACAGTGTTTTCTTTTAGTGCATCCACTGCTATTACCAAATAACAGTTTTCCCAAAGTATTTTACTTTACACGTATACAATCGACTATAGTCACGTAATCAATCATCTACATATAACTCAGCCATAATGATACAAATAACTGTACAGTTTAACTACATTTATACATTGCACAACGTAAGAAAAATTAAAGGAACATTGAGCATTCACTTTTCACCAGAATAAAATTATAAATGAACAAATATTAGTTAATTATAATTGATCGTTCAAGACTGAAACCACTTTGAGTTTCTACAAATTCTGTCAGCACTTGAAGGTACCTTTTACGGTTTACCTTAAACGCGCAAGTGAAAATGAGACGGGAAAGGTAATTTACAGTTATAATTCATTAACAAATAAAACTTTGATTTATTTAAATAATAAATCAAAGCAAATAATGTAAAAAGATTTGTTTCACAAACAACTATTAATAGTTAAATAGGAATAGCAGAGATAACACAAACAATCAGTCGGTCAGCCAATCGTCGATCACGAAAAACAATCAGCCGATCTGCATACTTCCTAATATATCGAACTTTAAAGCAATAATTAAAAAGCAATAGTTCAATACAGCACATTCGATTCCTGAACTGATTAACAGAATGAACTAGGAATAACGCAAAGGTATCTGAAAAGATTTCATTTGAACAAATAATATCCTTTGCAGCTTTTGTACTGCTGAAAGCAATGCCAGGGCTTAATTTCTAAAATTAGATGTGCCGGAGCCCTACAGTAGACCGTCAGAAAAGAGGAATAAGAATAAATTAATAGAAAAATCTGAACTTTTCAGATTTTATATTACGCTCAAAAAGGGTCTTTATTAACGTTTTGTGTATTGCCTTTATTAATTAAATATCATGTTCTTCGCACTTAAAACATAAAATTCAGTGCTACCTTTATTAATTAAACATCATGTTCTTCACACTTAAAAAATAAAATTCAGTTCAACAGCAATATCGTAAAATAATTTTAAAATGTCATCACCAACATGGTGAGAAACGTATTGTCAAGGCCTTCAAAATCATACTGAGGTTACTCATATCTCAGGTTCTAACTGATCTATCCTTACAATTTAAAAGTTGATATATCCAGTATTACACAATAACGTACAAAAAATCACTTACAAAAACAAGTAAATGGGCCCAAACACGATTAAACAACTTTCCAAAAAATATTTATATACATTTCAAGAAATAAATAAAAATATGTACATAACTATACAAAAATACGGTAAAGTAAAAACGCCGGTTGCTCTTTTGCAAGGAACCGAAGCGTTTCTCGTGTAGAAATTGAGATAAGGAACAACACACAAATAGTAGCATATACACTGACTACCAATAAGTATTTGGACACCTGTGATAGAAAAGAAAAACTAACTATATTCAAAATCAATAGTTGGTAGAGCCTCCACGAGAAGTAATTACAGCGTGGACCTTCCGGGGCATACTTTCACAAGTCTTTGTATGACAGCTAGTGGTATTTTCTTCCACTCGGCTTGGAGAAGACATAGAAGTTCCTTCACCGATTTTGCACGGGTAGTGCAACTCTGAATTCGGCAATGCAACTCGTCCAGACGTTCTCGACAGGGTTCAGGTCTGGACTCTGGGCAGGTCAGTCCATTCGATGAACTCCATTGGCACCATACCAAGCCTTGGGTAACATCGAAACATGACAACTGGCATTGTCGTCCTGAAAGTAATAGGGGTCCAACCTGTAAAACTGCCACAACGTAGGAAGCACATTGCAATCCAAAATAGTGCAGAGCACGAGTACGACATAATGGGACCAGGTCCCCCCATCGGGACGACAATTGCCCGTATTATCTGGAACCTGGCAGGACTCCCATAACCAACCGCATGCCATCTGACGGAAAGTGAAATGATTCCTGGAATCTTGTTATCTCTCATGAATTCTAAAAGGTAAAAAGAAATCTCTTACCTTTTCTTTCACCCGGGAGCCGAGCTTGTTCCATTCTAATTCTTATTCGATGAAATATCTAAATAATTCCAAGCTTTTGCATAAAAACTGACACTTCTGTATAAATAAAGATATTATATTTAGATACAGTTATATACAATTATTAGATTACATGAAATTACGCGCTCTCCAGCTAACAGTCAATCGAGTTCGGATTCAGAGTTCTAACTACGTTCTTCCGTAGGATTATTCTCGAGTTTAGATGTAATGGTGCTGATAGTTCGGAGTTTAGATGTGGAGGCGCTGATAGTTCGGAGTTTAGATGTAACATCACCTCCCACCATTGAGATCCGACGATGCGGAGGAACTCAATACACACAGGTCCAGTCGATGAGGAGGCCGAACAACTCGTCCAGCTCTGGTCATCACTCGAGGACTTGAGGCAGGTTCTGGAATACTAGCAGCCTGATCAGCCTGACCAGTTGCATGGTCGTTTCTATCTCGAGGTGCTCTGTCGGGGAACGGAGGGCCAACGGATTCGGAAGTAGAGATCTCCAACGGGAAAAGCCGGGGCACTGGACGAAGCAGAATTCCATTTCTTGTCTTGACCCTCGCTAGTCTAACTATTCCGTCTTTACTGGGGAAAAGCTCGACTATCTTGGCTAAAGGCCAATGTATGCGTCGTCTCTGGCTGTCTTCCAATAGAACGACATCGCCTACTTGCAACTGTTGAAATTTTCCCTTCTTTATTGCCTGTTGTCTCAACTGACCAAGATATTCATTACGAAATCTGTTTCGTAGATCATGTCTTATTCTCTGTCGGTATTTGGCTCGACGGTTTAGTTCTTTGGAATCTACGTAGTCCATATCAGGAACTCCTGATGACGGCAATTCTTGCAGGAACATCATAGGGGTCAGTGGTGATGGATCTTGATTATCCTCTGATACGTATGTGATAGGTCGCGAATTAATCACTTGTTCACAGTCACATAATATAGTATATAATTCTTCATAATTTAAGGACGTTCGACCTAACACTCTTCTTAAATTTTCTTTCACCATTCGCACAAGCCTCTCCCACCAACCTCCCCACCAGGCGGCGGTCGGAGGGTTGAACTTCCATCGTATCCTTTGGATAGAAGCAGCTGAACATATGGCGTTCCAATTAACTTTCTTAAGAACACTGTTAGTCCCTACAAAATTAGTTCCGTTGTCGGAATATATCACATAAGGTCTACCTCTTCTGGCAATGAATCTACGTAAAGATTGGATGAAAGTTTCTGTAGATAGAGAAGTAACTAGTTCGAGGTGAATGGCTCTATAAATGGCACATGTATACAAGACTATCCACGCTTTAGACCCCTCACGGAGATAGAGAGGACCCGCTAGATCTACACCGACGACTTCAAAAGTCGCCCCTTCTCTGACTCGATCTTCGGGTGGAAATCCTGGCTCGACTTCCACTCTTTGTGAAACAAATCTTTTACATCTTACACATTTTCTGATAATATTTCGAATACTTTTTCCTGGATTTTAATATCCAAAAGTTTTCTCTAAGATTTGTCATTAAAGTGCTGACACCAGCATGCTGGAGTTCTAGATGTTTCTCGTAAATTAGTCTCTCTCAACAAGAATATGTTTTGAAGGTAAAATGATAGGATATCGGAAATTTTCATTATCTTGACGCTGTAGGACGTTCGTTTTGGCTCTTAAAATTCCATTTTGGTCTACGATTGGTCTCAGCGCACGAATAGCGGGATCGTTTATGCCTGTAAATGATTCTTTCTGTACCAATCTACAAAGTGCCTTTTCAGCATTCTCCAATTCATCAACTGAGACATCAGGAGTGAGGTTTTTATCTTTGTTCTTTAAATTGTGATAAAACCTGAAAATCCAAGCGATCATTCTCACGGTTTTTCTATATGAAGAGAAGTATTTGTAGTACCGGTCCAAATTGTCTCCATGATCTAGAAGAGTCAGAATCGTTTTCCTTTTTTTTCCTTGTTTATAAGTTCTTCATCAGGCTTTTCTTCTACATGGGGCCACTCGTCTTCTGGTAAGTAAAGCCACGATGGGCCCTCCCACCATGCCGATTTCTGTAATTGCTCAATAGTACATCCTCTCGATGGGAGATCCGCTGGGTTTAAACTTCCAGGTACATGCCTCCAGTCAGATATTCTGGTAAGCGATCTTATTTCTTGTACTCGATTGTGAACAAACGTACCCCATGCTTGATCCCTTCTTATCCACCCCAAAGCTGTAGAAGAATCACTCCAGAACACTGTTCTACAATTCTTAAGTTTCAAATCTGATAGAATTGTTTTGGCAAGCCTGGCACCTATCAGACAGGAAAGAAGTTCAAGCCGTGGAATCGTAAGTTCCTTAATAGGGGCTATTCGACTTCTCGCGCTTACTAACTGAACCTTTACACCTTCGATGGTTTCAGCTCTTAAAAATGCACATGTGGCATAGGCTCTTTTACTAGCATCCGAAAAAACGTGGAGCACTACGGTATCTTCGTTTTCGTAATCAATATTTAACCAACGAGGAATTTCAATCTGAGATAGCAGAGGCAATTGGTTCAACCAAGTCCCAAACTGCTCACTTAGGGGAAGAGGAAGATCTTCATCCCACTTAATCTTCTGGTTCCATGTTTCTTGCAAAATTAGCTTAGGAATTACAGTTATCGGTGCAGTAAAGCCAATGGGATCAAAAATTTTCTGGGTAATTGACAAAACTTTTCTTTTGGTAATAGGTTCCCTCAAGTTAAATGTTTCTTCGATCTTGCAACTCAAACTATCTTTTTCTAAATCCCATACTAATCCTAATACTGGGACAACTTTCGTCTTGCTCTCTATCTCATCGATCATGTCAATGCGAAAATTTGATCGCCAACATCTCAAATTGAAATGCCCTGAAGCCAAAATCAATCTTGCTTCTTGAACGAAATTTTCGGCTTCATCTACGTGATTTAAGCTAATTAACGAATTATCGAGGTAAAATGAATCCTTTCAAAATATTAGAAGTTTCTACAAATTTTTCTGGGACTGTAGTCAAAAGGTGACTAAGTGTAGCGGCTAGCAGAAACGGACTTGATGTGAGTCCAAAAACAACTCGGTTATGTCTGTAAATTTTAAACTTATGTTGATTATCGAACCATAGAAACCTTAAAAAATCTCTATCCTTTTCTGCTATTTTGATTTGACAAAAGGCCTTTTCGATGTCAGATGACACTCCTATGCGATATTTTCGAAAACGATTCAATATACGTGGAATAATTTCTATTAAATTTGGTCCTTTACTCAAACAATCATTGAGAGAGGGTGAATTCTTAGAACGTGCAGATGCATTGAAAACAGGCCGTATCTTTGTAGTTTCACTAGACTCTTTTATTACAGGTCTGTGTGACAAGTAGTGCACTCCTTCCTCCTTTTCCTCAGTTACTACCTCAATAATGTCCTTCGCTTCCCACTCATCAAATATTTCTTCGTAATCTTTTCTTCTGCGTGTGTTAATTAGTTTACTTTCGGTTTTGACGAGGTGTCTTTCTGCCACAGTACGGTTACTGGATAAGACGGATTTATCTAAAATAAAGGGTAAGGTTACTTCATATCTCCCTGAGCTATCTCGTTTTACACTTTTTAAGAAATGTTTTCGGGTTTCTTCTTCCAAGGACACTTTTCGTTTTGTTTTCCTCACTTGAAATCCCCAAGGTGTCTAAACGCCAAAGATTGGACAAATTTGTATCGGAAACATGTAAGGATAAAGAAAGAACGGACAGGGAACTCGACGTATTCGCATTCTCTTTAATCTTGCCCATTAAAGTCCAGCCTAACTTGGTCTCAAAGGCTACGTAATCCCCCGCAAAATGTTCAATTCTTTCAGTGAACAATTGTGCTGCGGTGTCCGCTCCTAACAGCATATGAATCTCTTCCGGATTTTCTTGAAACAGACAGAGATTTCCATTCACATGATTGTCGTTGATAAGGATTCCCCTTTTTTCCATTACTTTAATTAATTTTTCGTCTTTGATCTTAGGTAGTGACGAACAAATTTTCCTCTGGTCTAGTGCTTCGATTTTACACCTGTACTTTCCATCCAAACTAGTTAAATCTATTTGATAACGATTATGATCTTCCGAAACTTCTACACCCCCAAATAACCCATGTTTAATTCTTTCAGTTCCTATCTTTTCTAATTTCAACGTTTTAGCAGCATATTGACTTATGTACGTGTTCTGACTTCCGGTGTCTATTAGCAATCTTAAATAACCCTTTAAGGTTTTCCCAGCTACCCCTACGACCAAAGTTTGTAAATAAACTTCAGAACGGTTGCTTTGATTCGAAAGTACTTTATTTTCAACTTCCTGGACAGTTTTGATCGTTCCCTTTTTACTCTCGGAATTAATTCTGTTGCACATAATCGTAGAATGCTTAGAGTGACAATGGGTGCAAAAAATGTTAGAATCACAAAATTTGCTGATGTGACCCTTATTTTGTAAACACCTAAAACAAGTGCCATTTTTGCGTAGTATTTCAACCTTTTCGTCATTAGTTAGTTTCTGGGCAATAGGACATTTATGGCTTGAATGGGAAAAATCTCCGCAAAAAACACATGCCTTAATCAATTTTTCTTTAATACCCGTGGACACTAAATCAGAAGCAGAAGAAGCTTTCGTTTCTAATTTATTGCTCTTTCCATCGCTGAAATGACGAGTGTTTATTTTCTGGACTGCATACGCAGACTGACGGCGCCCACTATTCGCTGTCGAATGCTCTGAATTCTTATTTATGACTTCCGCCCTTTCGCGTGAATCTAAACATTGAGCTATAATCAAGCACAGGCTTTTAATATTACAATACGCACTTCCATTACTCATTCTGTTAATCTCAAGCAAAATATCTTGGGGAAGTGATTTCAGAATTATTGGACATAACACACTTGATAAATTCTCGAGAGACTGACCCAAATTTTCTAAACATCTTAATTCGATAGAAATATTATCATAAAATTTTCTAAAGGCGCGAACATCATTCGAGATTTTCAACGGTTTAGTGTTCAAAATGTTATTTATGTGAGTGTAAATGAGCACATCTGTTTTCGCAAATCTTTCTTTTAGAAGATCAATTGCGGAATCGTAATTAGCAGCAGTAATCGGTAATCCTTCGACTGTATTTAAAGCAGAACCACCTAAATGAGCTTTCAAATAATTAAATTTGTCTATTTTATCTAATGAATCATTTTTATGAATGGCAGACTCGAAACTGTTCCAAAAGGTTAGCCAGTTGTTTATATCTCCGTAGAATTTCGTTAAAGTTAACTTAGGTAATTTAATTCGAACAGACTCGTTATGTTTTGGTTCGCTTTGACTATCAGTACTGAACTGGTTATTTACTACCGTTTCAGTAGATTTGCGTTTTAATTCGTCGATTCTTTTGGAGGTACGGAAACTGCATTTAACGACCTTTTGGACGATATTCTTCAGATTTTTGGAATTCAGCATCAAATTCTTCGACTTTAAAAAGAGGTTCTAATTCTGTATCGACACTTTTAAGCGATTCGAAATTATTCTTTAATATTTCTAAATTTTCTTCCAAATCATGAATTTTCGGATCAATTTCCGAAAGCTGCGCCAAATCTTTAAGCGATTTCGTTACTGATGTTCGGAGAGCTGCGCGCTTCTTTTTTAATTTATTTAAGATCTCTTCAGACATGTTCTTAACAGTTCAAAAATTCAAAATGTAATCAATAATTGTATTCTTAATCTTTATTGTCTAATTTAAATTCTTATTCTTAGCTCGGGCGTCCCGGCAGGGATGCCAAAATTTGTTGTATCTCTCAATAGAATTCTAAAAGGTAAAAAGAAATCTCTTACCTTTTCTTTCACCCGGGAGCCGAGCTTGTTCCATTCTAATTCTTATTCGATGAAATATCTAAATAATTCCAAGCTTTTGCATAAAAACTGACACTTCTGTATAAATAAAGATATTATATTTAGATACAGTTATATACAATTATTAGATTACATGAAATTACGCGCTCTCTCTCCAGCTAACAGTCAATCGAGTTCGGATTCAGAGTTCTAACTACGTTCTTCCGTAGGATTATTCTCGAGTTTAGATGTAATGGTGCTGATAGTTCGGAGTTTAGATGTAACACCCGCCTTTGCATAGAGAGTAAACTCTGTCCAGCTACAGGGGGTTCAATCTTCATGAATATTTGCAAAAACAGGACAATTCACTGTCTTTTGTTTAAGTTTAAATATTGCTATTGCCATGAAGACAAACTGGGCAAAGTTAAAATGATACCAACAACAACAGCATTTAATTTATTAAAGCTTTTTTCTTACTTTTACTAGAATTCTAATGATAAAATGATTAGTGCATTTAAATACATATTAAATGAAAATATTAAAATAGATATGGAGATGCATTAAATATGATTTGGACTAATTAATTATGTATTCTTACATATATAGCTATGCACATTTAATTTTCTCAATAAAAAATAATTAAGCTATCCTTATTATTTTTATATGTCTATACATTTTTAACTCTGCACATAGCTACTCAGAAAGAAAGATATATGGGTAGGATATAAGAAGATAAAAATTATTAATCTTCCCTTCAAAGTCAAATGGATATAGCTGTAGTATATGATTTCAAAAAAAGTAAATCATTAGAATATTAAGCTGAAAATATACTGTTTGTAAAATTTTATCCTACATTTCATGTAAATTTTGTCTCGGTTGGGATTGTAATGTGCGTTTTTTTAATTTAAATTTTACTGTACGAATAGTGAATTAAAGCCGTATGCTGTATTTTGATTCTGATGTATTGTCGCCAAATATATCAGTTGGCGCCAGTGTTAAAAATTGGTTAGTATAACATAAATTATAAATTGTTTAGGTTATTCTGTATAGTAAGGTAAATATATTCTGTGTCCTTCAGGAAGCTTCATAAACTTAATTATTTATTCTTAATTTTGTCCTATTTTCATATAAAAGTTAAAATTTTTCACAAAATTTCATTCTTAATAGTGTGATTAAATTCATTTAGTACATGCAACTGTAATTAAATACTAGTGTTTTTTGATTTTAATGTTAAACTTCATACATGCTTTTGTTAAATTTGAAGATGCATTTTGAAGAAAATCAGTTTGAATGTTCTAGGAAAGATAGGTTTAAAAAACCAAAGCCTTGTTTAATGTGCCTAATCCAACACAACTGTTGACCCCACAGCATGTAAAAGGCATTGGGTTTACCAAACTACCATTAATGATATCCAGTTTTTAAAATGTATGTTTTTTTAAGTTTTATAGTTTTCATAAAAAATGTTTCAATTTTTATAGTTTTCATAAAAAATGTTTCATATTAAAAATGGACTAATGTGTTTTATAAATAAATCAAAATATTGAAATTCAGGCATTATATGATAAGCTTTAATTTCAGTGCCTAAAAATAGATTAAAAATTGAAATTTTTAATAGATAATAATTCATAATACTGTTTAAATTTTGCTGTTATATATATATATAATTAAATGTGTATTTTATTATAATAATCATATTTAAAATGAGGCATAAAAGCAACCTCAATTTGATATAGTTTTTGATTAAAATTACTGATTTCGAGGCCTATCAGACACAGGTCTCATTTCTTCAGATTTGCCCCTAAAAAAGAGAAACCTGTATTTGATTGCCTTCAAAGTCCACAGAGGTTTGTTCAAAATCAGGATTAAACTAAAATAACTTTTTTGCTTAATTTTACATATATATAGGAATATGCATTAAGAAGCAAAAGAACAGTATTATTGAAAGTAATAATTGAGTAATATATCTAATAATATGGTAATGTATGTTTTAATGTCCTA